GATACCTTCAACATTAGGTTAGGAGAGCGCGGTTTGCAATCGATTGAGTCGAATCCTGATCGATCTAAGTTCTCCCCATTTAGTGACGAGCCTGGCCGGACTGATCCTGTCGTGTATTGATTGATGGACTGAGAGTAAGTAAAACTAATATGAGTATAAAGCTGGTGTTGCGTGTCTTTATTATGCGAGTATGAATGCTGATGGAGACCACTTGGAGTAAGCGTCGTTAGACCAATCAATCCTTGACGGAGCTGAGGCGATGTTGACAAGGTGAGTTGCAAAGTCAGGGCTTAACTGACGATGATGACCAGGAACCGCAATACTTTCAGTAACTGCAGTAGGGTCGCACTTGACGCCCGAAGGCAGTTACGACAATATCAACAGTATCTGTAGATATGAGTAGCATGATCACTTTTTCATTTAGTATAAGCTTTCACAAAACAAACATGCTTTCATTTGGCCATTTCCCCAAAGGCTATGATGACAGCTTTGGTAGTACATGTAATGATACTGACAATAAGTCAATTGAGCTGACACCTTTCATTCATTCTACTAAACATAATTTTGGAACCTTTGAGGGGAAAAACAGTTCCAACGGTGATCAAAATATAATATTTGGCAGTTATCTGTTTTATTAAATATCAATTGGTGAACTCGGAGGAGTAACCACTTACTCATGTTCTGGTTCGTTATCGTCGAGTGGTCCATCCTGCTGAACAAACTCCAGTAATGCAACCCAAACGACTCCTCTCCGTAGTCAGTTGTCTATGAAAAAATCATGCTCAGTGATGCACTGCACACCTGCTTCATCGCACATGTGTTCCGTTTGCTGAATCTCCTGGCAACATTTGCTCTCAAGACCAGTTTGCATCGTGATGCACTGACCACAGTCACACCTAAAAATATATTACAGTCCGCTAAAAACAAATGGATCTGTCTAAAATAATAAAGATTAATCATGTTAATTGAGCCTACCGCCGACTATACACATCATTACCTATCAACCAGAAAACGTGCATTTTGTTGTTTCGAATATTATTTAAGACAAATATCACATGAGCGATGTATATTACAAGAGGATTTGTTACAACGAAACGAATTCCAATAAACGTGGATTCAAATGGTACCTAATTGCATGGACTCGATTGTAAGAGGTGAAAAACTTTCCAACAGCATCAAAAGTAAATATTACCTAAAACTGTTATAAGACAGCAGCTAATACATCACATATCTGTCAAATACAGTTTATATATCACTGGTTGGCACATTAACAATATAATCGTACCGATAAAACCGATTATTCGACAGTCGTTTATATGACGAACTTACCAGCCGTGTCCCGAGTCTTTCGATGTTGACATCAAGTGGTGGTTTCGCTTGATTCTTCTTCTTCATCTTGACTGGAAGTTTCCCTTGCAAGATGTAAAATCGGCTCGCACTGATATGGTCTAACATTAATATCAAAAATGACATCGGAAACGTCTTTTACTGCTTCAGAATCCATGGTCACTGTCAAGTTGTCACGTTTAGTCATACGGGAAGCCATCGGTGATAGGAACATATGACGTCACGTCACGTGATACCCGCTTCTGCTCATTAACTGCCGGGTGTTTCCGTAGTAGGCGTAAAAACGAGGGCGTTTTTTACGTATTTATTGCCATTTTACAAACTTTTTGTCGAATTGTTATCGTGGAAGGTGGCTTTTAGAATGCTTTTACACCTATGAAAAAAACAACTTTTGCTTTAGTATTCTCCTTTAAAATATTTTGACACTTGGCATTTTATATAATCTCTGAGATACCGATGTCATTTGTTATGCTCATCACAATACCACTACAGATACAAAGTGTACTGCTTATAACACAACTTGTTCATTCATTTGGAACACAATCTAAAGACGTTATACCTAAACATTTTAACACACCTTCAAACAGTAGTTGAACACTGTTGAAATATATGTTTATTAATTTGTAAAGTTGTGATCACATGCATGTTTGTAAGCAAAGGTTATACACATTTTCACAATCTTGAAACACGTACAATGCTGTATCCAGCAATAATCTGCCAATTATCACGTGAGATGAAAGTTGCTATTAAACCAATAATAGAAGATATTTTGTAAATATTTGTTTGATGTATTTCATTGTATATATCACAATTGTATATATGTATGTGAATGTACTCACTTATATTGTGTTGCTAAAAAAATGGTCCACAGTAAATTATTGTACATCACACAAATTCCTATCCCACGTAATTATTGCTTAGCTATTAGACAATTCATTTATTGATGAACTGACGCTTATCGTCAACTGTACTTCATTCACAACTTTTATTAAGGACGTGACGATGAGTCGTATATTATATGGAATATACAGTATGTCGCGTGCGGATTGCCTGGCGATCTCGACCCTTTGTAGAGGCACATTCACGGCCATGAGAGATCATCCTGATTGGCAACTGCATTAGAAGCAAAGGGGATGTTGACGAGATACCAAATGGTCTGGTCGTATTACCATATTAGGAATATGGTCGGCAATCTTAGAATGTATATCCATGTACATTTACTATAGCGAGATATGGGCACATGGAGCTGAGACTTGAAAGCTGAACGTCTTGTTGTGAAGAATAATTGTTGTGAACGTTCATGGGGATCGAAGTATCCGGTACAGTGCCAACTTCTACTCGGGACATGAGCCTGTGGGTTTCATCGAAGAGGTAAACATTTTCTCGCAAACCAAACTGACACGCAATACTAAACTGAAATACTGCTCAAACCAGTGTTAAACCCAACTCACTCGAGCTCAGTCACAAAACGAACAAGAAAGAATGCGTTTTCCTACTACAACCTCAGTTTGTTTCATTGTTTATGTTTGTTCTGAATAAGGACCATAATCTACCAAAGAGTCTGCTTTGAGTGGACAAGGATTCGATTGTAGGATTGATACATATTGCAATTTTAACATAGGCACCTGTTTGTGATCAGTAGTGTTAGGTGTTAGAGCAAATGTGAGCATATTCTACATTGCCAATAGATATGGCAGCTAAATGCAAAGCTTAATGTTATTATATCGTCATTGTGGGATCAGAGGGTGTGAGGAGGTGAGTGTGTTAAGTTTACTGTTGCTCTATATTTCACTCATATCACGGCATGTCAGCTTGTTAGGGAAGGAAAGCTCTAAAGTTATGTAGGCCTTAGACATTTAGTGCTTTGGGAGAACCCAGGAGCACAGGTATGGTGCTGACAAACCAAGAAACATAAACTGGGCAACGAACAAATGGCCTTCCATTTCTGGCATCTTCAGATTACTCCACACATGCAAATGACACTCTCCAGATTTTGGCAATTCATGCAAAGGCAATTCAAGTGTTCATCAAATATAACATTGGAACATTTGGTACAAGTCAAAGTAAAAACTGTTTATGTATAAGCTATAAAAGGTCTTGGATGCTGTTACCCTGGCCAAACAACTTTTTGAGTAAGAGCCATGACGTATAGTACATGTATGTGATATAGGTGACGAAATAATGCAAAATCAGTAAGTAAAACTTGTTGACACTATTGATGTCAATATGTGTAAACACATACTGGAGTATGTATAACCAGAAGATCATGATGAAGACTTTGGCTTTGATTCTGTCAACAGTTGTGTGTGTTATTTCTCTATTATGTTTATTCAGCAGAGTTACGTAGGCCATCGGCCCATGTCACAGCAGTTGTACAGCAGCCATTATTGTAATTGGAATTTACATCAGCAGTTTTGTCCTTAATTGCATAGACTTATAAATATACATAGCCAAATTTCTTATGTTTTTACATTTATCACTTGACATAAAGACATTGAATGTATGTAATGTGGGAAAGACATAGTAGTTTCTTGGAATGTACTGTTCACGCAATTCGTCATACACCGTGTAAACAAACAAGAAATGATACTCATCCTCAACCAAACCTTTCATTTCTTGGAACATTTGCATATCTGCAAGTCTCAAGTTTTAGTTGGTGACAACTATATATAAACTTTGCTAAACCTTCACGAAACTTTTGGATAGAAATATACTAAATATAATACTCTTGACACGCTATAGATATACACAAAGAGTAATTGAATGTTTTTGCACCATGTGACAAGGATGCATGCCATTCTGACAAATTGTGCTCTTACTACAAATTCTGATAAAAAATATTGAATACTACCAATGCTTTCATTATCCCATACAGAGCCAAATCCCATGTTATATAATACTTTTCTTAACTTTGAAGCCCAATTGCTTTTACCACGACTCATATCTAACAATATCATATTAAAGGATTTATTTGGTAGTCACGAGTACCAATATGATATACACCGCTTGTAGGCATAAATATATACAGGCAATCTCCCACATTCACCACGTACAACATGATTTGGATTTGACGAGTCAATGTCTAGTCCCCATATTTCGGCACCATACAATAAAATTGACATCACTTTACTTTCTGGAATTTTGAAGAAAACATCATACGGCAAATGTCTCAGTTTCAACAGATATTTTAAGATAAGAAATAAAGCCTTTCTGGATTGCAACGAAGAATTCGTAAATAGCTTGTTCCAGGTTAACTTACAAGTAAATATTGAACCCAAATACTTGTAAGATGAAAGACATTCAATGCGATTGCCCTCAAAATACCAGTTCTTGAGTCCAGAAAGGATACCACCGTTCTTAAAAAACACAACTTTAGATTAATCTTGATTTACGTTTAGGTCATATACTGTTGTAACACATTAATTCGTTTTGTAAACCCCATGTAGTGAAAACCATTAACCCATGTTTCTGACAGAGTAACAAAATTGAATTGCTGAATGAAATTGACAAAGCTAATAATAACCTAAATAGTAGTAAATCTTTTTTGGTTTACACTTAAAAGCTTTTCAGGCGCTTTACGTTCGGTTCGACAGTGTATTCCATTGCAGGAATGGTATTCTTATTTTCGAAATATGTATATCGATAACGCTAATATGGACGATGTCAGTGTTGATATCGGGGATATGACAAGAGATGTTGATGCGTTTACTGCCGACATGTTATATTCACCAATTACTCAAGAGGAGTTAGCAGCTGCTTTAGACAATCTCAAAACTTCAAAATCTCCAGGGTAAAATATTTTTGCTGAATTTTTTAAGCATTCAAGTGATATTTTAATACCGCTTCTTACCCCTTTATTAAATAGACTTTTTGACGGTTGTGTTTTCCAAGAATCGGGATAGATAGGATTGATAGCGCCATTACATAAGAAGGGAGATCTTAATTCTCATCTAATTATAGAGGTATAAAAATATTGAGTGTCATCAGTAAAATTTATATTTCGGTTTTGAATACTAGATTAAGATTTTGTTGTGCCGCGTATGAAAAAGTTTTGGAATTGCAAGCCGGTTTCCTGCAGGGGTATTTAGCTGTAGATAATGTTTTCACATTACAGTCCGTTGCTGGTCGTCTCTTGGGGACAACGAATGGCAATTTATATGCTTCATTTGTGGATTTTCCTGAGGCTTTCGATTTAGTTAATCATTCTAAATTATAGTCAGTCTACAACACAAGGGAGTTTCGCCAAAAATGTTGGGTTGTATCAAGTCTATTTATGAAAGAGTAAAATCGTGCGTTAAATTTAATACTTTAGTTTCAGATATGTTTGACTGTAGTGTGGGCGTTCGTCAAGGTTGTGCCTTAAGCCCCTTGCTGTTTAAATTGTTTATTAGTGATCTTGTTGATGAAGAAAGATCCTGCTATCCTGGCATCTAGTTGCATCCAGATTTGACTCATTTATTCTTACTTTTGTTTGCGGAGAACGTTGTTTTTTTAGCAGTAATTAATGTGTTACAACAGTATATGACCTAAACGTAAATCTAGATTACACTGAAGTTGTGTTTTTTTTAAGAACGGTGGTATCCTTTCCTTAGGAGAGATATATATTAATCAAAATGTCAGTATCATCCTTCTCCGACGTTGTTAATGCCATACAACCAGCCATGACGTCAAATAGAATGGTGTCATTCTTTTAGTATTTCATTACTTTGGATAAAATGCTAGTGCTCCATTAATAAGGGTGCAACATTAGTCAAATTACACTTGCACAATCAGGAAAATGTTGGAATATTAGGACTAATGTATATACTGAACCGCAAACGAAACGTCACCACAAGTAACATTGCATGAGAAGTTGTCATTTAAATAACTTGGTAATTTTGGTCAAAGTTCCTAAAATTAACATTACCTTGTCCGAAAAAATAAAATTTGATGATAAAAAAACAAAGCAGATGACAATCAAACCGATCGCCCAAACGCATCACGGACATGGCCATAGTAACCCGATGCACATGAGTTCCGTGCAGATTGAAATGCACATGCGTTCCCCCATTTCTTGCCCTATAAAATCCACCCAGATCGGAAAACATTCATTCGTTATTGAATTGCTACCACATGCCAAGATTGACAAGAAATCAGCGACGACAAGCCCTTGGACATTTGGACAGTTGGACAAACCGCCCGGCAAGTAGCCACTGCATTTCAAGTCTACGTAAGGACCATATACAGGCTCCAGCAACGGCACCAGAGCACCAACACTACAGATGACTGACCACGTAGTGGAAGACCAAGGGTCACCTCCCGACGTCAGGATCGTCAGATTGTGTGACAGCATCTTCAAGATCGCTTTGTTTCTGCTGCGGAAACTGCTCGACAGACCATGGGGACACAACAGCGACACATTAGTGCGGACAGCGTGCGTTGACTATTGAGCAGACACCTCCACTGTCACAGGCCACACTGAGAACCCATTCTGACACCACATCATCACCGGGACTGTCTTCAGTGGACAACACAACACCAGCATTGGTGCCACCAACAGTAGAGAAGAGTTCTCTTCTGAGACGAGAGCCGTTACTGTATCTCAAGAGCAAATGGCAGAGATATGCTTTGGATGCGTGTGTTTTTGGGAGAGACTCGTGGGGTGGTCCGAACATCATGGTGTGGGGAGGAATTGGTCTTGCACAGAGGGTCGGCCCTGTGGTCTTCCAGAACATCAGTCCTGGGAGCGGCAATGGTGTCACAGCAGCTCGTTACATTGATTAAGTTTTGAGACCACACGCCATACCTCATTTGGCACGTCGCCGCAACAACGAGTTGCCTCAGTCCCGATTTATATCCTGTTGAGCACCTGGGGGGCGAGATTCAAAGACGGCTGAATGACGTCCGACCAAGGCTGACAACTGCAGCTGAACTGGAGTGCCTATGGCCTTCATCAACGCATCGTCCAGTCCATGTATCATGGCGGACACACGAGATAGTAACTTGTTATGCCATTTTCTCAGAGACTAGTGTTGTGTTTCACTTTAAGAAAATTTGACACTTTAATTTCAACCTTGATGATCAGTTTTGCCTAGTTTCATCTTTTTATTATGTCTCAAAGTATGTTTACAGTGTTTGGATAAATAAGGTTTCTCATATGTCTATCCATGGTGACGTTTCTTTTTCGGTTCAGTGTAGGTTAGATAGGGCCATTTATTTCGCTTTTACTTCTACTTTTATGAAGTACGATTTCATAATTTCTGATGGAAAATGTGCGTCAGAAAAAACAACTCGGCATCCAGAAGGTGAACCCAGTCATTTATAGCATTTTTTTAGTATTCTCCTTGCGTGAATAAACACGAGATTAGTCCAATAACTACCTAGACAGAATGATTGATAATGCAAGGCCAACTGATAGTTTAAAGTTTTATTAACACAAGGCAATTAAGCAGTACTCAAATAGTCAGATATGACGACTCAGATCAGAGACAAATCCTGTTACAAGTATTAAGGTAAACATAAAAAAAACGTCAATGCAAGTTAATGATATTCGTGGAAACAGGTTGCATTTTGGCGTAAAGGTCAGACTAGCTGTGAAAATTAAGGGAGCACTGACAACCAGTGATGACACCAGGTGATCGAGACAAAAGTAGGCAAGTCTTGCCCTACCGGTAGTACCCGCCAAGTATTTATTGCCTGACGCCGCACAGGCGTACCCATGCTGTGCAACGGCGGCATGTAAACAAGCCAGACTATTATCAGCTGTACTCACACAGCTTGAGTAAAATGAAATAATAACAACTTGTCAGTTCTAATACACTGATTGGCCAGCTCTAAATACACAGAAGGCATTACATTCTACAGAGACACAGTTATAAATTTCGATGTCGACAGTCCATCACACCACATGTTGTGTAATTAGTTAAAGTGACTGGGTCATTGAAGTTTCAGTCGGGGCACGGACGCTGCAATTCGAACTGATAGACAGTTCTTGAGTATCTCTGAGAGGGTATGTATACCTGTGCAACAAAAGGGCGGATCTCTGCTCGGACCATCTCTCACCTCCAGTGGTTATTGAGAGTGCTTCTGAACAAATTTTACTTGATATCACAGATAAGATTATTAATTAACATAAGTTATATATACTGTACAACGTTGGTACTTTAAGAATATGCTGTACATACAACCTAGGCCCAAATGGTTTTACAGTTACAGCAGCAAATGTAAGTAATAACTGGAGTGAAATTTACACTGATTTACATTACGTTACATTTACATGACGTTACAAAAATAAGATATCGCGCACATTACCAGTGGATACATATTGGATTCTGTGCATGTTGCACATAAAATACTAAAATAGTATATAAAATTCATTTAGGATAAGCAAAATAAAATACAACAGTGGCGGTCCATCAGTCTGGAACCTTGTCACAATCAGTGAATCATTATGAACACAAAGTGTATAATCTGATTAAAACTAAATGTTTCTTTTTCGCCCCGAAAATTCATTTCTCTTCTAGCCTACTCTCTCATTCTCCAGTTCTCACATACTTCCACTGTTTATATATCAGCAGAGTTCAACTATATCTTCCAACGCCATGGTAAACACAATATACATATACATGCGTAACACGCAATAAGATAATAGTATGAGAGCATGACCATTCAATATAGTGAATGTATAAACAATGAACCTTTACAAAACATAAAGAACAACATATCTCACTAACAGCCTCTTATGCATAACATTCCTATCAACTTTTCTTCGTGCTCATGTAAATAACTAATACACAAACTACGAGATCAAGACAGAAGTGATCCAAATATTGTTTATGTTGGTTGACTAAACATTTGAGGGGCATACCTTGCATATGGGACTCCCAATTACAACTTGCAGACACATGTAATACATGATGGTGGGTACAGAATGTCAGTCGAGGTATTGAGGTAGGTGCTGAAGAGGCTGAGATGAATATTAGAAAGAGCTTGAGATAAGACCAGGCTGTATGGAATCCCTGATGGATCACAAACAGCATTCTTTCGTATACTTGTTCGATACACAAATAGTTGTTACCAAGTGATGTTCTAAAGAATTAAACAACAATCTGGTAGTTTTTAGAAACGAATGTCACTATAAAATTCATGTTTCCTTTGGAGATGATACCTACAATAACATTCACGTCAGTAACGACTGTCAAAGGCTAAAGCTGGTACAATATGTGGAAACAGTGGTTGTGACCGTATGGTGTACGTGATATACTGCACACTGTACGTGATATAATGCACACTGTACGTGATATACTGCACACTGTACGTGATATACTGCACACTGTACGTAACATACTGTATACAGTACTTGATATACTGTATACAGTATGTGCTATACTGTATACTGTACGTGATATATTGTACGTGACATATTGTATACTGTACGTGATATACTGTATACTGCACGTTATATACTGTATACTGTACGTGATATACTGTATACTGTACGTGATATATTGTACGTGACATATTGTATACTGTACGTGATATACTGTATACTGCACGTTATATACTGTATACTGTACGTGATATACTGTAAACTGTACGTGATATATTGTATGTGACATATTGTATACTGTACGTGATATACTGTATACTGCACGTTATATACTGTATACTGTACGTGATATACTGTATACTGTACGTGATATATTGTACGTGACATATTGTATACTGTACGTGATATACTGTATACTGCACGTTATATACTGTATACTGTACGTGATATACTGTATACTGTACGTGATATATTGTACGTGA